CAAACCATTCTATGATTCTATGATTTCACAAATAGCTCCTGCCTGTTCTACTGTAGGTTGTTCAACAAGCTTACTCTTCTATTTCTTGAGTATAAGGGTTAAATCTGGGGTGGCCAAGGTAGGCCTGAAAGACTAGGAAATTCTATCTGCAAACGTGGCAAAGGATATGAAGTCTGTTGAAAAATGTAAAAAAAAATCAGATCAGAACGTGTTTCAAAGAACTGACATATGAGAGAGGTCACAAGGGAATTTTTTTTTAGAGAGATTGCATGTAAACATAATTGACTGAAGGAGGATTTAAATGCAATTGCAGCCATTCTGGAAATGTACCAAGAAGATAAATATCTTCCTAAAAGCAAATAACTAAGGTTGTCTTACCTCTGCAAATAGAGAGGACATCAGAACCATTCTATTCTAAGGAAAGCCATCGTTCTTCAGATATGTGGAAGACAACTCTGTTTTTTTAATTTCTGGGTTATTTGAATTGGTAACCAGGCTAGCTCATCAAGTGAAAAGTTTGGAAAAGGAAATATTTTACCAGATTTCCTTACTTTGGAGATGTTGTCTGTAGCCCTGGAGAACAAGATATTGAAACAAGCTGGAGACAGGGCTGAGTGGACAGCAAATGCCCAAGTGATCTCTCTGAAATCTGAACCTGCTATTCCAAGGACAATATTGCATTAAAATTTCCTGAACCCACTTTTACCTAGCTTGTAGTTGAGAATTTCTAAGAGATCTGATGATTTTTGTATGACAGGCCAAAATATGTTCCTCTGTCATATGAAAGCAAGTCCTTCAGTGTGTGATACCTGGAGATGTGTTGCCTCAGAGCAAATTCCTGGAGATGTATGGAAACGTGTGGAATAGCTGCCTTGATTCCTAGACTTTTTTCTTCCAGTTTTATTCCTTTTCTGTGCAGAGTTCTTGCTAAACTATTTTTGTTTAACACTCAAGATCTAGTCACTAATTGACCTAATAATGGAAAGGTGCTTTTTGAAAAAAATCTGCTTCCTCTGTTCTTTCTGTAGCTGAACTGATGGATTCTCTCACAAGAAAGCTTTTGAAGCAAGAAAGACTTGTCTAACTCAAAAGGGAAGTTAGTGTTTCTTTCAGAGGAAAGAACTCAGACTTAAAAGTAAGAGGAGACGAAGAGGACTGTTTAGCTGAATATAAGTAACTTCCATTTATTTCTCAATGTACCATTTTAATTCAGCAAACAGGAAGGGACTGTATTGGCCCAAACTTGAAAAAAAATTATTAGAGGGACAAGTAGCCTCTTGCTTAAGGTCTTGGTGGGGTGTTGTGTTTTGTTTTGAGTTGTTTTTTTTCCCTATTTCAATAAATCTTAACTTGGGGAAGGTGCTACAGACAGCTTAGGTCTACTTGGGAAAGCAAGAGTTCAATCATCTTACATTTCTGCTCTCCCCCACCCTGCCCCCCAGTGAAAAATACCACTTTCTGTAGCCTAACAGCGAATCCTACTTATAAAACCAATAAGATATATTTCTCCAAATTTTATTGCAGATTTCTCAAAAATATTATTCCACATTTTTAGGTTAATGTCCAAATACTGAATTAGGTAAATTTGAGATGTTCAGAATACATTTTATAGTAGAAAAGTAATTTATTTAACATAAAAAAAATGTATTCTCTTTAATCCAGCTTTATGCCTGCGATTTGTGTTTCATGTTTTGTTCTAGTGAACTGTTTATAATATCAGTTGAATGTTTGTGTTTCATGGAGGTAAATGTGCACCCATAACAATGGAAATTTTATTATACAGGATTATGAAGAAAGCAAAAAAAAAAAGAATCAGCAAGAATTTCAGTGAAGCTATTTCACTCAGATTTCCCATGAGAGTACATCTATCTCCTTCACTGTCAGTTCACATTTCTTATTTTGGAAAATTGTTTTGTATTCGTAAAGTTTAAGTACACAGGATAAATTGTTATGAGTCTTGATAGATGAGCTTGGTTTCTACCACCCAGTAGTACCAATATATTAGCTCTTGCAAAAGCCCATTAAGCTCAGCAGCATGTATAATTTCTGCAACAAGGTCAATTGAAATCTGTCTTGTAACATAGCAGAATTCTGGCAATGCTTGACATAGGCTACCACTAGTTGTCTCTTGTACCATCAGTGCATCAAGAATATGTCCAAACCCAGACTCTAGTCTTCCACTTTCTGTTGAGTGTTACAAATGAAAATGGTCAGATTCATGAGGCTAAAGAATACAAGGGAAAAAGGAGCTGCACTCTCTGTCCATGTAGAGAAAGATGTAAGGGTATTCCCTTAATTTTTTTACTGTTTATACTGAATGATTCAATCCAATATGCATAAACCAGAATCTAGGACTCTTCTTCACATGAGAGTGCATTCCTCCCTTGGCCATAGAGGTAAAACTCCTCTCACTTTTGTGTGTGCTCTCTCATCCTCTGATCTCGTAATGACTCTTGCACTTTTGTCTGGACAGTTGCTGACTTCAGTGGGGAGGTGAGAAGCAACTCCATTCTGGTTTTTTCCATACTTGATGGGAACTGTGGGAAGTGGGCTTATGTCCCTCAGGTGGGGAAATTAATGAATGCAGGTTTTGCATTTCCTGTGCATGTGCTTTAACAATTCAGCTTTGTACTAGAGGCAGCAGTCATCATAACCAACTGTTTTTCAAAGGGACTCTGACTCAATACTATATATAGGTTTTAGGAGTACTTTAAGCATTATCTATTGGATTAGGCCCATTAGGGGATTTAGATGTGTGAATATTTAGTCTGTGAATCTCTTAATGACCTTAGGTAGGGAGATGTCCTAACTAGGTTGCTTAGTTAAAATGAGGCATAAGCTTCTATAGAGAAGTTAATAGCTAAAATTTGGGTACTCAGGAAAGTTTTTCTGGACAAAAATGTAGCTATTATGGGTATGGATATTTTTAATTAGGTAAATAAAGTTCTTTATTAATTGTTTTGTTAACAAATAATCTAAAATGTGCCTAAATTGAAATTTAAGTCCTTTCCTGAATCTGGTCCTCACTGTATTCTTTTGTCTTCTGTACTTGTCTAAAAATATTGTTGTGTGCTTGTTAAAGATTTTACATTTATATGCAACTTATTCTGAGAGTATTCAAACTCATGTAAAATAAATAAAAAGTGTACCTGTTAGACTGAATCTCATTTCCAGGAGGGTTACTAGGTAAATGCAGCATTTTCCACTGAGTGTATGTTTGTTTTTACCTGTTACACATTTCTGTCTTGGGATGATAGAGGTTATTTCTTTCTGATTATCTATATGTAAATTATGAATTTTAGTATTATTTGAACATTGTGATTCATAGGAAACATTATATAATGTATCTCGAAGACATGGAATAAAAAAATGCTGTTTAAAGAATGTTCTCTCTGTAACATTCCTGAGTTTCTCACCTTCTTCTCTAATTTTCCAATGCAGATAACAATACCCAGACCTTCAGTGGCATCCACGCAGTCTGCTTCGGAAAGCTTTCATTATGGCCACCAGCTAGAAAAAAGAGAGCAGGATGCTCAGTCTATGGAGCACACTGTGGAACTTTCCTCTCCAAAGGAAAGTTTGCCAGGTTTGCTTGTGACAGACGCACTACCAGCTAGTGCCAGCAGACCAGATTTGGTACTTAATATCAGCCAAGAGGTGCTTGACATGGAGGGACTTGTCAAAGACTGTGTCACTGTCCTGGACTGTGGCCAAAAGGACCTACTTGAACAACATAGTGGGACACAGGAAGAGAAAGAACTTGAATATATTCCTGTAGAGGAGGCTGAGGAAGAAAGGCTTCCAGTGCTTTCTGAGGATGCCATTGAAATGCTAAGCAAAGAACAGAATTCTTCTGTGCCAGGAAATTCTGGAGAGGAAGAACCTCTCACAAATACTGAAGCTGCTGAAGAATCAAAGCCAATGCCTGTCTGTTTGGTGCCAAATGAAGATGAGGTTCTGAAGTTGATAGCACCTAAAACATCAGAATTTTCTTCCTCAAGTCTTACCAAACAACATGTTAATAGACAGGCAAGCAAAATAGCACCAGTTCAGGAAAATGGGTTTCATTCTAGTAAGGAAGAAGTCCATATCCAAGACTTGAAATGCCACCAAGTGGCCCTTACTACTTTTTTGCACCAGGAGGACAAAAAAGAGAAAAATGCTCCCAGAAATGGGGAGTTGTTCCACTGCATTTCAGAAAATGAGAATTCTCATCGATCTAAGAAGGACTTAGTTAAATCTCCTTTTGTATTCAGGCAGAGCCGAATCCCAGTTTTAGCACAAGAGATAGACTCAACGTCAGAGTCCTCTTCTCCGGTTTCAGCAAAGGAAAAGCTTCTTCTAAAAAAGGCCCATCAGACAGACTTGGTCAAACTACTTATGGAAAAGAGACAGCTCAAGTCTTTCCTTGGTGATCTCTCAAGTGCCTCTGATAAGTCACTGGAAGAAAAAATGGCTGCTGCTCCAGTACCATTTTCTGAGGATGATGTCTTGTCCTCGTTTTCTAGATTGACACTGGACTCTCATTTCAGCAAGCAGACAGAAGATAGCTCTTTATCTCCAAGCAGCCCTCAGTCCAGAAAAAGCAAGATTCCAAGGCCAGTGTCCTGGGCAACCACTGAGCAAGTCACCAGTTCAAATTCAGCTCAGTTTCAGTTTGTTCCTCGGCCACCACCAGGAAAACCACCTACTAGACCTGGGGTGGCAGCTAGGTAATGCAGAGAAAATAGAAACAGGTTTTCAAGTTGAAATTACATTTGAGCTAGACTGCAGTTACTATGCACTATGTAATCTTGTAGATGTTCCATCTTTTAACTATTTTTTTTTTAAATTCTGGGCTTCAATTCTCTGAAAAATTGTACATTGTTGGAGAATGTATGAGAAGAGGCTGTTATACAAGAATGAGCCTGCTTCACTGTTAAACATTATACGTCAATAGTTGTGTATTCAGTAATTTGAAACCTGTCAATCTATAACTAAATGTTTACACCTTTTTTTAAAGAGGGGTCACTTTTCTGGAACTGTTGATTATTTACAAACCCAGAGAAATCAGGAGGATCTGTCATATTCAGCCCCTTTGAAAATTAAACTGTTTTAATTGTAGACATTTTAAGTATTTGGGTTTGGAGATTCCAGCCGTATTGAGTTAGTTAGCTATGCTCAGATCACGGCTAAGTAAAAACAACTAATTGAAGGGGAGAGTGAATTTTAGAAGCCCCACTTTGCCAATTCTATATATAGACAGCTATGATGTAATTTCTTCAGTGCCTACATTACCAGGATAAGAAGAATTTTGATACAGAAGTGCAAAATCCTCCGAAGGAAGTTGTGGTGTACCTTGTCATCCCTTAAAATTGTGTATAGGACTGTATTGATGGTGTGCAGGAATGGATGTACCCCCCAAAAAAGAGGGCAGAAGCACTGATCTTCAGTGCACTTCTTCCAGCACCACCAGGAAATTTCAGTTATCCTGTAAACACTTAGGCTGTTTATGTGAGTTTATTCAGATATAAATACTGTGTTACTTGAACAACACAGAAGCCAAAGCCTAGATCCAAACACCTCTACCTTATAGGAAAGTTCAGCTCCAGATGTCTGTTTTGCAATGTAAGCTCATCCCTAGTTTCTAGTGATAACTGTGTTTCTATATGAACTTTAGCAAGTAGATGGGAACAGAAATAATCTTTCTTCATTTCTTCTTAAGGTTACGCAGATACCAAGTCCTAGGGAGCAGCAGCTCAGACTCAGATCTTCTCTCTCGTCTGGCTCAAATAATACAGAATGGATCTCAAAGACCAAGGAGTTCTACCCAGTGTAAGAGTCCAGGATCTCCACATAGTCCAAAAACACCCCCCAAAAGCCCTGTCATCCCCCGACGCAGTCCCAGTGCTTCCCCTAGGAGCTCTTCTTTACCCCGTACTGCCAGTTCTTCTCCATCCCGGGCTGGGAGAACCCATCATGATCAGAGGAGTTCATCCCCACATCTTGGGAGGAGTAAATCACCTCCTAGCCATTCAGGCTCCTCATCTTCTAGGAGATCCTGCCAACAAGAGCACTGCTGCAACAAACCAACCAAGAATGGTCTGAAAGGATCTGGCAGTTCCTTCCACCATTCCCCGAACACTAAGACTCCCACAGGAAAGAGCAAATCAACCACTAAGCTTAGCAGATAGGAACTGGGCCTTGACAGGTATAAAGCCTCCTCCTAAATCTGATGCATGTTGTGTCTGTGTACTGTGTATTTAAAAAAATTATCAAAAAAATAGTGTATTAAAAAAATTGTGTTGAACCTGTGCTTTTTAAAGAAAGTAAGCATCATAAACTATTCATGAGAAAGCATACTGTGTAAATAAGTGGCCAGGCATTGCCTAAGAGCAGGCAGCAAGCAGATCTGCAAGAGGGGAAGTAGAAGCCAGGATAAGAATGACTAGGTAGTCAGAGAGCTCCAATGTATTTAGAGTAAAAAATATCTCTAAGGTGAGTGTTTTAAAAGGGGATTTATTTCTATGTTTTTAGTTTGCCTAGCTAGAAGATTTGGCCTAATTATTTAAGGCCTTACGTACTTAAAGAGTATGTAAGAAAACCCGAAACTGTTATTCCCAAAATGATGTCACCACTTGGGAGACAAGTACTGCTCAAGCATATCTTTGCAGTTTAAAAAAAGCACATAATTTAGAAGACAATGGTATTTCTACTGTGTAAGTCTCTTACATTTTGAGCTGCACACATCTCTGAGTCACTCAGCACTCATCTTGTCCCATCTCTACCGTGGCATAGATGTTTTACCTAAGGAAGTATCATACACCTTGCCCCTTCTTGAGAGTGATGACATTTTAAAAATTAATATTGACATTTGCCAAGATGTTTTTATAGCTATATTCTTTAGAAATTCATTTAGTACTAACTGGGATCCAAGAAGCTAATTCTCAGTTCTATATCATACACTTTTTTGGGAGTCATAGTGGAGTTCTTCAAACTTCATTCAGTAGAATTTGGAAAAGTGTTCCTGTCTAGGAAACAAGAGAAAGGAGGAGATGTCTGCACTTCACTGAACAATTAGTTGCAATGTAAGTTAGATAATAAGTTAGAAAACAGAAGTACCTTTTTTCCCTTAACTCAAATGCAAAAAGAACCCTTGCTGGCTTTTGTTTTCCATTAGTTATGGATCACTTAAACCACTGTTCCCAAGGGCATGTAGCAATAGGATGAGGGGTAATGGTTTTAAACTAGAAAAGGGTAGGTTTAGGTTGGATATTAGGAAAAAGTTCTTCAATATGAGGGTGGTAGATCATTGGAACAGGTTGCCCAGAGAGGTAGTGGAGGCCTCGTCCCTGGAGATATTCAAGGTCAGGCTTGATGGGGCTCTGAGCAGCCTGCTCTAGTAAAGATGTCCCTGCTAACTGCAGGGGGGTTGGACTAGATGACCTTTGAAGGTCCTTTCCAACCCAATACACTCTATGATTCTATGATTCTGTGATCTTACAGTGCAGAGATTATTACCAACCAAGACTGGATTTTTTGGTCATTTGTTTTAGAAAGACGTGGAAGATGAAACAGAGGTGACGAGATTGTCTACTTTGTGAACTTAGTAGGTTATAGGTGACAAGAAATATACTTAACACGCGTACAAAATCTGGGTAAGAATATGAGTCATCAAAGCGAAACATACAGAAAGCAATCTTAGATATTTTTTTATGGTGGATTCTTGTCATTCTTTTGCCTAAATGATTTTTTGATAGCCAAGCTTCATTGTCTGTCAGTAAAGTCCATGATGTCTAATTCCTCCAACTTTGGTAGTTACTTAATAATCTCTTGTGCTCTACAGGATCTCTGTAGGGAATGTAACGGTACAGCGCCTTTTGCTACGTACAGAAGAGAATAGTGGGTCAGAATAGTAACACACAAGAACGCAAGCCTGAGAAAGATGCAGCCAGCTCTCCCTAATTATTCCTGTTGTGGGGACACTGGATGCATAGGAGACTTGTCAGTTACTGATCTGCTTGCTGTAGTCATATGTCTCTCCAGCCAGCATCTGTGCTTTTTTATTTAACGTCTGCCAAATGAATACCTTTGGATTAAAAAGGGAATATTTTGTCTCTGAGCTAACACATTCTAATGCTGCATTAAAGCTGCTCTGGAGTTGCACTGAATTTCACTTGCTTTGTCAGACTGTGTTGATTTTTTTTTTCCTTTTCTTACTATGAATATGTATATTGTTTCCCATACGTAATGTAGCACAGTGTGGAACCTTAATTTCATTCAGGTTTCAAGCACTACAGATGAATGCAATAGGTAGGTTATACCTGCTTTTTCTGAAGAAACTGTACCATTGGAAAGTCCTATTCCTTTGTATTATATTGTATAATAGGTACTATACCAATAATTGCATGTCCTCATGGTAAATTATATAATATAAATATTTATATATATACATATATGTATATGCTTATATAAACTCATTCTTTCTCATTTTTCATTTGTAATTTATGGACCACGAATAATGTAGTTCCCTTCCTGTTAGTTCCTGAATACTTTTGACATTATATCTTCTATTTCCCCCTGCAACATTTCTGGAATGCACAAATTCTAATAGCCTTTATACGTTGGTACAAGATTGAAGGACTGCTGATTTTTCAACCAGCCAATGTTTTGTCTTGCAGCTTGCCTTTTTTCTTTATAATTTTGTGTGTACATTTGCACATGGAACAAGAAGAGAGGCTCAAAGGTATTTTTATTTTTTATTACAAATAGGGCTTGTGGTTACTCATTTTTATTTCATAATGTAGGTTCTTAATTGTTATGAATAGTCATTATATAGGAGCAGCGACAGTCAATGAATACCTAACAGATGAATATGACAACCACAAATTCCATCTTTTCCTTCCTGTTTTCCTCAAGTTTCCTTATGGTATACCATAAAGATAATTTGGTCCCATTGTGATATTTTTGCCCTGGGCACTGCTGGAATTATTTGTTAAGGTGGTGTGGCAACCTATGATTATTTTTGCTCCTCTCTCCTTTATTTCTGAAAAGCATTTATTATGCTTTGTAAGCTCTTGTAAGCTTTGTTCTTGTAAGCTTATTCCAACATTAACATGGTCCATTTTAATAGGTACCACCCTTATGCATCCTTGCCTGAAATGCTGAAGTTGAGGTGTTATATTTTCTCTCCAGTGTAGTAGGATCCCGAAACAGTTAATTGCTTTACAGGTGAGAAAGAATATAACACCTAAGGATTTTTTTATGTTGTCTTCAAAGTACAGACTTATCCATTGTTACACATTACTATGTAAAAGAAATCAATGCTGTAGAAATTCATTTGTACTTGAACTACCTGCCAATGTAAAAATAGTAAAATATGCCAAAACAGAGAAAGAGATATCAATTGTGATTGATGACCCAGGCTTCTTTCAGTGCAGAAAAAGGTAAAGGGACTGTATATTCCCAGTTGCTTTCTGCTGTGGATTCAACATAATCTAGTGAGAAAATAATGAAGATATGAATGGAGGAGTGATTGTGAATAACTTCTCTTGAACTATCTGCTCTTCTGGAGTTTTTTATTGCTTGATACCCTCCCCCCAAAAAAAGTTTACAGAATTGCTCACTATAGTCTAATGTAGCAATCAATTATTGTAGTTAGGTAATGGTCAACTCATAAATATTAGCTTACTATTTCTAGAGGGCCTATATAATCATCAAGAACTCTGTAAGTTTCAATATTTGAATACGCATCTGACTGCATAAAAACACCAATGTACATGTGTGGCCATCGCGCAGAGTGTGAATGAATGGTTTACGAAGGGTTATCTTGAACAAATTTTCAGGGACGGGGAAGCTTTTTCTCCATTGTACAAAATGGTTATGGTTATTCTGCATAGCACGCAGAAGCTTACACAGGGATTTTAGCTGGGAAACAATATAATTCAAGGAGCTGTTGCTTTGTCTTCTTCAAGCCTCCATCTCTTTGGAGGGAAGTGCAGTGGAGCCATGACATGTAGCAGATGCAGATGCTGCACACGCATTTCCTCTTTATGGTGTTTCCTGTGTTGTGGCCAGCACTTCGGAGCATTTTTTAGAGAAATTGAGGCATGAAGCCTTTAAACTAAAATAGAACTTGAAAAGACTGAATATTTCACACAGACTTTTGTGCTGCAATATTGCATGGTATAATCAATCTAAGGTGCAACCTCAAAAATCTATATTAAACTTAATAAACCTCATTGTTAATTACAAATGCCAGTTACTACTTAAGTAAAACCCTGTTAAAGGTAATAGAGGGTGTGATACAGTAGAGCAACACTGGCAAGTTGGATGATCCTAGGCACTTATCTGCTACTTGAGCAGGGTCGGTAAGCATAGAAAATTTCACTGCTCAAAGGCAGGAGCAATATGAGGTCTTAACTGCTTGTTATATACAATTATTCAGAAGGGAGTGACACGGGGCATTCATTATAGCCACCAGCCACGTCCTGTCTTGGGAAATCTGGACATATTCTTGCCTTGAAGTCTGCATGTTTGAAGTCAAGCTTTCTCGCATACCTCACTAAACAGTCTTGATGTAAAGGGGAGGATCTGGTCTTACATATTTAAAAATAGCTTGAAATATTTTTCATCTGGAAAAGACTCGCAAGAGCTCTGTTATTTACAATTTGTAGTATTACAGCATTAACTGTAGCTGGGAAAACACAATTTTGATTTAATATATAAATATGCATTTGTACAGAAGCGTATCTATATATACACTTATATAGATACTGTAAATTAAATAGAAGCATATATACATACATACATATGTGTGTATATACATATAGATAGGAACAGTCTCAGCTATTGCATCCTGTTCACTGGAATTGATTTGTCAGAGTGAGCTGAGGCCTGTTTTGCTTTGATTTGCTCTGATCTCCTCTTCATCTACTGTAATTCTGCTATGCCCTAATTCTGATTCTGTCTTTTCCATATTACAAGGCCTGAACCTATAGTCCTGCTTGGGCAGAACTCCCATTAAGTCCTTCTTATTGCAGTAACACTTATGCAATGGTTGACTTTAATGCTTCTAAAAAATATTTTCTTTTTCTCTTCGATGAGAATGTAGAAAAAGTACAGACTCTTTCCTGTAAATGGAATTTTTCCATAATGAATTGGACATTTTTGTGGAACCCTAAGAATCCATAAA